AACTAAAAGCTCTATCACCTAAAGTCTTCTTCGTATTTCTGTTATTAGCTGGCTCTATCAATAGTTCCTTATTTCTGCGCAGCTGATAGCTACTTGGTCTCATAACTGTTACCATTTCACTAATGTATGATGGCGCTAATCCATGTCCAATCAATCAACACATCACGCTCAGGGGGTTTCCAAGTTTGGCCAGCACTGCCTGAGTACAGGCTACAGCTTCAGCGAAACAGGAAAACAGGGTAGCATGCTTCACAGGCAGACAGGCTTGAGCGAACATTTATTTTCCATATTATGCTTCAGTCATTTGAAACCACGGACCCCCCACCCCCGGGACATAGCGGGGGATTAACAAAATTTAGCCGCTATATATGAATACACCGGGGATAGCTGGGGACTGGCAAAAAACTTGTTCAACAGTTACGTGCGTTTGAAACTTTATATTTTATACTTAATCATCAGCCTGTCGGCCATCTGTTGCTGTTAATATTCAATAAGCATCAGGCATCGCCTTTTCCATTGTCAAAATAATATAGTAAAATGCACTGCGCGTCAGAGACAACACGGGCAGCTTAACGGCAGTTTTTTGCTTATTTTACATTTTGCTCTATCGTTTTCAGATCTCAGTTTTTCTTTCGCTCCTTAAAAAACTCACAGCAAGCTGAGGTAGACTTGGTGACTAATCTGTAGGGCCATGTAATTGATAGCTATATAATTATATACAGTATTTAAACACCGACCTCGAATACTTGACGGAAATTCAATCTGGAAGTTGCAGACCAGACTGCAAAGTTTGGAAATTGCACGCGGAAGATTTCGAAAATTTAATAGTAAATATATAGAAAGAATAGTAAATATATAGAAAGCATCAAAAATGCGCGCGGAAGATCTTCCGCGCGCAGTCACAGAATAAAGACATACAGAAGTGTAACTTCCATTACAAAACCGTAAGGCGCTTTCACCGAAATAGCTGGCGGCCATGTTCTTAGCAAGTGCCCTAAAGAGAGGCATTCACCCCCCTGGAATATTAAATTTTCAATATGTTTTCAGGGGGGTGATTGCCTCTCTTTAGGGCACTTGCTAAGAACATGGCGGACTGAAAAAATCCCTTACGCACTTTTAATAAGAAGATACACTTCTGTATGTCTTTATTCTGTGGCGCGGTGGAGAAAATGCAGACAGGGTTGCAGAAGACCGGTAACTCAAATGCATGCATCAATGCGGAATTTGTCGTGTATTTATAGTTTAGGTATAATGAAGCACGGGCAATAGGACAGGTGTAGTGTTGTTAAATAGAAAGTTAGAAATGGTATTGTACTTACTCATGTATTATAATTATGTTTAAAAGATCAGAATATTCATAACTTCTTATTTTGTTTCATAAATAGTTCTTTAATATCCGAAACAAATTCCATATCTGCTTCGTCGGCCATCGCCATGTTTACTCGTCCCAATCTACATGCTGCACTGCATTGCCGCCCCTCCTGGCAAA